AACTCTTCGAGAGTCTTGTTTGTTTGAATAATGACCGATAGGAATCTTTCGAATGATATTAATACCGTCCAACAGAGCTTTAAAGACGGATTCTCTTGGAATTCAATAGTTCCAAAAGAAGGAATTGGAATGCTTGATATTCACAAACAAAGAATCTAGAGAAGCAATTGTCTTCAAAAAGTCTACTATTTCTTTCTTTACAAAAAGTCAAAGAATTGTCCCAACCGTACAATTCCAAAGAACGTAGACTTTGCCTTTGAAACCATTGCCCCCAAAAACTTATAAAATCGTCAATGTTCCGAGCGAAACAAAAGGAGAAAGCCACGTGAGATGCTACAAAACTCCAAGCTTTGGCTGCAAAAGTACAATGCATCTACTTGCTTGGTCAGGAGATCGTGGTTCTAGCTCATGAAAATTCAAGTCTCCTAGCTCTTTTGGTTGGCAAAACTTGTCCCAATTCATCCGATGTATTTTCATATGAGAATCACTCAACCCCYACCAAAATCTTGTAAAAATTTGAGAAATATCTTTATAGAAACTAACAGTAAGACAAAAAATATTCATAGTATAAGTCGGAATGGCTTGGCCAACACTTTTGATAAGAATTCTTTGCCACAATCGAACAAATTGCCTTTTCTAATTTTGGTATCTAAACTTTAAAGTATTTTTCGTCTATAAACTTTTAAATTATCTATTTTAGTTTCTAAACTATTAAAAAATAAATATTTTGGTCCCTCRAATTTTCAAGATGTCTATTTCAATTCTTAAAATTTTATATATATACTGTCACCTCATATCACGRCTCAGTAGATACTCACCTTAGCGAAACTAACGAGTTTATGCTATGTTAAAATATGAGTTTCTAAGATTCCCGTGTCGAGGGTTATTCATGCTTTACATTTTTGCCCTTCGTTTCTTTTAATATATTTTTCATAATAGTGGGGACAAGTAATAGAGTCGGGCGAACTTGTTTTGAAAAAGCCCTAAGACTCTATTTCATCATCTTCATTTTGTCACGATAAACCCATCCATCCCCACGTTCGATTCATCGCCGCTTCTCTTCTAGTTTTAATTTCTTCTTCCACCGACTCCGATTTCCTTTCGATCTATCGATTCTGCCGGGTTGTTCTTTGTTCTGGAATTTCAAGAATCGAAGCGAAGCCAACTGTGTTTTGGATTCAGACCTAGAAGAAGGTGTTCTGTTGTTTGTTTTGCATTTCTCATTCTTATTCTCATTCTCATGCTCCGTTTTAATTTCAGTCATAAATTGGTATTATTAATATTAGGGCTTAGGGTTTAGGGCTTAGGGCTTGTTTCTTTGCAATTCAAACTCAAAGCATGAACTAATTAAAGCTACATCTAAAACCTACTTATATTGCTATTGCTCTCTGTTTATTACGTATCTAATGTTTCACTCTCTGCTATTCAGATTTTGATTTTGGTATAAATGAAACTGAAGATTGCTTAAATCGTGGGTATTTTGACCTCTCTATGTTATTTCAACTGTGTATGTTGGGTTTTTGGATTTGGATTGTGGATGTTGTGATTCTGAAATTGTGTGTATTGTTGTGAGTGTTTAAGTCTGTGATTGTGAAATGGTGTTTGAGTTTGAGATTCTTAAATATTGTGAGTATTCAAATTCCTAATTCTTTAAATTTTGTKSTTAGTCAGTGTTAGTTCTAATTTCAGAAATGATTGGATTTTTTAACTGATTGTGTATGTCTTGTTTTCTATCTTGAAATAAAGAGAAATGAAAGAGAGCTGAGTGATGTGCTTTGATAATCTTAAGCTATATATTGCCCACCACAAGACCCTATAAAGATAATGGAGACTTATAGATTAACCAAGTGATCTCCAGTCTCCACTACTGAATATGACTTTCGATAGTCTCTCTATCACCCCTGTGTTGGTCGAGAAGAAATTTTGATACGAGAAAGAATAGCTTCGATGAGAGTTAGCCTCCCTCTTAGGAAGTCAGCCTTCCCCTTGGGTTCTATGCTTCTTGCTTGTATCTTTCTGGACTGGGTTTGTTAGTATGCCAACGTCTAGAAATATATATACATGCATACATTTTTGTATATTCACACAATTTCATACACAAATATGTGTATGGTGCACATGTTTGTATATGCATGCATACTTAACTTCTATTATGCACACAAGGACACCTTCATTTGGCTCCATGTTTTTCTATACCTCCTGTGTACCTGTATGACATTTATCTTTTGGCTTTGGCCACCTCTCCAGATGATACATTGATTTTCCCTAGCTTTAATACCTGTTTTTGTAAAGATGTCAGTTAAATATCAGTCATGCTTTTGTGAACTATAATGGCATTGCTCTGAATCTTTAATTTTGCAGATAACAATAGCCTGCAGAAAGTATATATCTTGCTAGTATGAGGCGGTGTTATGATTGAAATATTTTCTGTTTGTCTTCAAGTCTTATTTTATTGTGGAGAAAAATGCTTAGCTCATTTGGACCAATCTTGACTCTTCCAGCTCCTTCTGAGGATTCAAAACTTACTGTTCAGGATGAGAAGGATGAAATTATTGATAACAATGATGGGGATAAAGACAAAACCAACTCCGCACCTGCATCGATTGCAACTCATACTAAAACTATTGGTATTATACATCCTCCTCCAGATATCAGAAGCATTGTCGATAAAACTGCACAATTTGTTGCAAAGAATGGACCAGATTTTGAAAAGAGGATCATTGCAAATAATGCCGGTAATGTCAAGTTTAATTTCTTGAATTCCTCAGATCCCTACCATGCTTACTATCAGCATAGATTGTCTGAATTTCGCGCCCAGAATCAGTCATCTGCACAGCAGCCTTTGCAGGCGGCAGATTCTGCTGCTCCTGCATCAGCACCATCTGGTCCAGCTGCCRACAGCAATGAAGCATTGGCAGCAAAGCCTGACGTTTCTGCCTTATTCAAGCCTGTACGCAAAGTTCTTGAGCCTCCAGAGGCTGAGCAGTATACTGTTCGTCTTCCTGAAGGGATTACAGGGGAAGAATTGGATATTATCAAGCTCACAGCCCAATTTGTTGCCCGAAATGGGAAATCATTCTTGACAGGATTGACAAGTAGAGAGATTAACAATCCTCAGTTTCATTTTCTGAAACCTACTCATAGTATGTTCATGTTTTTTACCTCACTTGCGGATGCGTATTCCAAAGTGCTGATGCCTCCTAAGGGGTTGACTGAGAAACTGAAGAAGAGTGTTACTGACATGACAACAGTACTTGAGAGGTGTGTGCATAGACTTGAGTGGGAACGTTCGCAAGAGCAGGCAAGGCAAAAAGCTGAAGATGAGATTGAGCAAGAAAGGATACAGATGGCTATGATTGACTGGCATGATTTTGTTGTGGTCGAGGGAATAGACTTCGCAGACGATGAGGATGAGGATTTACCCCCACCAATGACTCTTGAGGAAGTCATTAGAAGAAGCAAGATTTCAGTCGCTGAGGAAGAGATTGTTGAGCCTGGGAAGGAGATGGAAATGGAT